TCCAGATGGCAGCTGGTGATTGAAGGGGAAGTTATTCGAGCCCAGAAGAGCATCACGGCGATCCAAGAGAAGTGACTTGTGAGTAGAATAAGCGGCATATGCAAGGGATTTGTCAGAACAGAGATCTCGATGGGATTGATCAGTGCTGTTGTGTTGATTGACATATGAAGTGAGCTTGGTCGGATCTTATCCCTTTAGTCGAGGCGGGTTGATCTGCGAGTCATCATTATGATTTGCCGACCCGATAGTCGAGTGAGCTTTGGGTCGAGTGTATGGCCGAGACGTCTGCTCGAGGAGTCGTCTTAATTACGAGGGACCGACTGGTCTTTTTTTTTTAGCCGATAGACTTGACCTCGGCTATGCTTTTGGGCTTCTAAGCTGGTTTGGACCATACCCTTTTTAAACCTATGCAGTCAATCTTCATCTTTAGATGGTAAATTACCATAACAATTATTAATTGAAGTATCTATGCATTACACTAAAACCACAATAAAATTTAGAAAACTACAAAATAAACACCCTTAAAAGTTTTAAAAATTGTAGAAAAACACCCTAAAATCTTATAATTTATAAATACACAAAACTATTAAACATTACATTGAAATTAAGGAATTATAAAAAATCATTAAAAAAATTCAAACTTTAGAGGGGTAATTTGCAATATACTAAATTTTACATTTAATAGATTTTCAATTAGTTATGTTCTTTTTAAAAATGTTATGGATAATATTGATTATGAAAAGTTTTTCCTAAACCTATACTTTTAAAGGGTGTATGATATTTTTTGTAAAATTTTAATTTTCTAAGGGTTGTTAGTAATTTTACATATTTATTTTAATGTCTATAAGTTTGAAATTCTCATGGTGTTTTTTTCATAAATTATAAAATTTAGGGATTTTTTGCAATTTTTAAACGTATGGGCCTTTTTTACAGATTGTAAATTATATATACACTATTTATAATTTCTATGCTTTTAATTTACTAATGAGTTTAAAAATCACAGGGTGTTTTTTTGTAAAATTTAAAATTTAAGGGTTTGTTTGTAATTTTTGAAACTTTAAGGGTGTTTTGTATAAATTATAAATTTGATAGGGGATATTTATAATTCCTATATTTTTAATGCACTATTAGGTTAGAAATTATCATGATTTTTGTAAATTTTACAATTTTAAGGGTTTTATTTTATAATTTGTAAAAAGTTCAGTATGTTTATTATAAATTTCATAAATTTTTGAAGGTTGTTTGTGTTATTTGTTGGTTTTTAGTGTGTTTATAAGTTTGAAATTTTTAAGATGTTTTTTATAAATTTTGAATTTTAGGGGTGTTTTTGTAATTTTTAAAACTTACAAGATATTTTTTCTAAAGTAAAAAAACTTTTAGTTTCTCGCTAGAATATGTTTTTCAGATTTCACACTGAATTAAAATAAGTAAAATTTATAATTTTCAAGATGTTTTAATAAAATTTTGAATTTGTAGGGGTGTTTTTGCAATTTAAAAATTTGGAGAATATTTTTTACAAAGTCCAAAAATATTTAGGTGCTAGCTATTATATGTTTTTAGATTTCTTTATGAACTAAAATAAGTAAATGATTTGAATTATATGAAACATATCTCTTTTATCCAATATCATCTTAAGTCTCCTTATAAATAGAATAAATCATTTAGTTACCAATGCAAAGAAGATAAGATAATTATAATAGATTAGAATAATAATGTAATATTTAAAAAGTTAGGGTAATATTGACGATGAAATGATCTTCCCGAACTCATACTTTCTTCCCGAACTCATACTTTTAAATGGAGTATGATATATATATATATATATATATATATATA